CCAAGTCGTTGCTGGACCTGGACGGCAGACGCGCCTCGAGCCGAGGAAGAAAAAGGAGACTTATTGAAAACAGGGATCTCAAGACAAACGATCGGCGACGCTGCAAATGCTGCTATCAGATGCTCGTAGTCGACCAGGGTCGGACCTATGCCAACAACAATGCCAAAAAAGTCAGAACCCAATGCAGCATCTGTCAAGGCTTTGTATGTCTCGATTGTTTCCAAAATAGTCATAAAATCTGCGTTCCTCTCTAGGTTTTCTAGTTGTATTGTTTAGTTTTGTTGTTCAATAAAATATTCACTAAAATCGGCCTCATAACTACAAAACTAAAAAAGCTTTACCTTAGAAGATGAGTCTTTCATGTTCACGTGAATAAAATATTCACCATAAGAGATCTGCATGGACCACGGCAATCATAGATACTACAGAGCCTGATGATCAATATGTGATCGCTAGATACTCGATATCTGCGCACAATACGTTTTTTGGAACCTGCATCCTGGCATCAGTACGCATTGTCGCCAACGTGTTAAGGTCTGGAATCGATTGAATTAAAAATTAAAACTAAAAAAGTAGCTTATTGTAGAAACTTTAGAACTTTATTCATTTTTATTATTTTTCTTTTGTTTTCTTTTTATTTTCCTTTTGAAAACTAGTTTTAATACCAATTCGAAGGAATGATTTTCTGATTTTGGGACATTCTAATATAAAATCGACTATTTCTAGATTTTACATTTTTAAATCCCTTTGATAAATGTCATATCTCACACTAAATGTTACCCAAAACCCATTCAGACACCGGGCCATTCTACTCCATATGAATAAACTTACCTGGGATTACTATGTATTTTCGCCTTATTCAGGGGAAGTTAAGGGTGAATCGAGCGAGACGGATCAGAGCACGACCCGGGACATATCATGGGCCACACACAACTGCACCCTCTCATATTTCACGTCTGGTGAGTCGAGGAGGTTCATCCAGGCAATGGGTTGGCATTCCGCCGGTGAAAGGAGGTATTTCAATGCAATAGGGATGTGGAGGAGCATAAGTTCCACAGGTGAAGTGATCATTTCCACTTGCGACTTATCCGCCTCAAAGAAGCTGCTGCTGGCCGGAGGCGGGGACGGCAGACTCTTCCTCTTCAGGTATGCGACGTCTCGGTTAATCGGGCCGCAGGGTTAATCGAGCCGCAAACCCAGATTTGAGGCCCGATTTACCCTGTAACTGCCAGTACCCATATGGTCATGGGTTTACCTGTTTCAACATCTTCATTCTCATAAAGTCTCTTGATAATACTTGGCCTAGTTACTATCACATGTGTTCAGGAAAATACACGAGCATTAGGTTTTACTAGTTCATGGCGCAGCCTGCACAAATGGGTGAATTGCGGTATCAAAGTCCACTTGACCCAGGTCGGGATTTGCAGTGTTAAATAATGAAAAAGTGTTATTTTCTTTTATAGATACCCAAGTATAGATCCCAAAGCGAAGTATCACATGCAAAGGGCCATCAGCGCATACATCTCTTGTGCTCGTTTCCTGCAAGACAGCCTCGTCATTGCAGCCGGAGGAACCGATGCTGCTCTTATGCAATGGAGGCTGGTGTGACGAGTGGTCTCATGCATTTGTTCTGGATGCACCTCCTTTTCCTCGCGGAGCAGAGGGAGAGCCTCATTCTTCAGAAACGTTTTTTCAGGAAAATAAATACACGTTATTTCCATGCACCGTTCGAGTTTCTCGGTGGAGGTGGTGGGTTCAACCATTTCCTTTCTCCTAGAGGGAGATCCCGTCCTGACGGGATCTGTCCTGACCATCTGTCACATGGAACAAAATGGCTGGCAGTGAATTCGCTCGATAGCATGGAAAATTTGAGGTTAAAAAAAAACGATGATCCAGATATTAACGGTTGAAAGTTTATTTGTTGTAACCTCCAAAGAAAATGATAAATAATATGAGTAAATAATTTTAAGGAAATAACAATCACTTCAGGAAGCACATCCTTGTGTAAAAACCGAAAGAAATCGCTACTGATCGAAAACCGCATCAACGAGTTTGTCATACACTTTTCCCTCGAATTGCCAATTTTTACCATTATATTTCTAAGCGGCAGGCATCTGTTATTCATGCGATTGGGCCACTCAGAGAAGTGATGCCTGTAAGTAATCTCATCTAATATGTAACAAATCTGCATCGCTCAACTACAATGCATCGGGGGAGGTGGAAGGCGGCCCTGCTCGTTCTCACGGATGCGGTAAATGGCAAACGGTTACTGAAACGGTTGCGGTCTGCGTCGCTCTCCAGTGATGGCATACACTGTCATGATGTTTCCGAGATCCTGAGGAATCAATGGATGATGCGACAAGTGATGACGTGGAAACGCCCGCCTTGTATACCGGGAGGATTCGGTGAGGCCATCCAAAAGCTGATATTCGTCTCAGACTCGGGTTTCGGAAGCTTCTCTCGAAAACGCGAAAAGTCCTGATATGTGGGTTTGTAGCAGATGAACGCATGGAATATAGTGCCGTCTGGCTTTCCTTACAGGCAACCGATCTGTTTTACGAAAGCATCCGTGAATATTTCTTCTGAGAATTATTACATTCTTGATTCAAAATAAATTAAGGTAAATGTAAGAGCTTTTTTCAAATTGTTCCTCTGCGTGAGACACTTATTAGCAATGACCTACGCCGACTTCGCCCGAATCGTTTGGAAGTCGCTCTCCAATACCGAATCGATTCCATCAGCAATAGCGGAGAGTCTGATGCGAATCCTCGGCTCCTTTCATGCAGACGGAATGGGGAAAAAGGAGGCAAAGAAGGCCAGGAGGATACAGGAGGCAAGAGGAGCCACGTGCTTACACATTGCCGTGCTCAAAGCACCTGACGACATAGAACCATTCCCTCATGGCAACCGGTCGACCACACAGGTCCCTGCCATTGCAGGAGTTAATGTAAGTGACGTCTTGTGACTAAAGTGACGTCCAAGGTCGTTTTTTGAAAAACGGTTAAAGAAAATATCCCTGGAATTTCATCTCACCATTGCCATAATCTAGGGACAGAAAACCCATGTTGGCCTTTGCGTTCGTCTGTCCTTTGTGGCTTCCATCCGTCACCTGTGCAGCGGTATTTAATGACGGAAATATTTCCTAGAGTTTTTTTTTTGCTCATGGAATAAAAAGTTGACAGTTTAACAAACGGCGCCTTGTGTTTTGCGATTGAACATTGTGTATCACCGGGTGTGATTTAAGTACGTGGCTCTAGAATTAGTCCATGAGTTCGAGTTGCATGCCGATTTCCTTCTGTCATCGGAAGTTAATGCACATATATGTTGGTTCCAGCCCGATTCCAAAGGTTTCAATTGTAGGGGACGTGGATAGTATGAACTCCTGCGAGCCGTGAGAGACGAAACCCCTGTCATTTAGGTCGTGCTGGGCTCGTTCGAGAGTCCTACTTGCGCATTCCGACAATGCATCTGGATGAAGCTGGCCGGCGATCACGGATATACAAGTAGTATAACTGTGGGGAATTCAGATCGGAAACGATGCCACGAAGATACATGTATTTCCCAATACGCAAACACGGTGCAGATGAGAAGCCTCAGATCTCATCACGAGGCCGCGATGTGTCTTCAAAACCCGAACGTGAGAAAATGGGAAAATCCCTGCAGCAAAAAAACACGAAAGTACCGATGTCAAACTTAACTTTAAGGTGAAATCCGCAATTCACCTGAAAACCCCTCCGAATGCAAAAACGAAAGCATTTCACCCGTAGTCATGCCACTGAAAAATCATTTGTCTCAACATCAAACGAAGAAACACAAGACACATATGTCCACAAACAAGACATGTGCAATATTGTCCAACACAACTGTAGGGCAACATTCGTGAAGATGCATTTACATTCAACATGAAAAACTATAGCAGATTCATTTTTCACTTGAGCATATATCCACTCAACATTGTCTGCGGTCAGGATTTTGATAGGGGCTTGGAATGACTAGGAATTGGAAATTGGGGAAACAGGCGAAAAATAAGATAAATAAATAAAATTTCTGGGAGGATTCGAGTTCGGGCTCATTCGAATGGCGTGGACGCCGAATGGACGCTCTTGCAGAGCCCAGGGAAATCCGTGGACTTCTCGAGGCAGTCTTTCCCGACGTCGTCCTTGCTGGCGCCCGCCTCGTATATCGGTAAGTAATGGTGAGCCCATCTGGAAGAGATATACGCCTAAGACTTGGGTTTTGTTGATTCCTCTTCGGGAACAACGAAATGGGAAAAAATTGTTCATACAGTGGTTTGTATTCGCACACGTAGGTGACAAACTCGCTACACTCTGCAGCTCCACAACCAACCTGTTTCATGAAAAAAATTAACTAAGGTCTTAATGACGAATTTATTAGACATGTTTTCACCGATAATATTCGTTTAAAAATCGTTATATTTTCTGCCTTAAGGAGTGAAGTGAATGTGAGGATACGACGACCTTTGCATTATCCCCTGTAAATACATTTCGCGCTTCCTTAATGAAGGAATGTCTTTAAAATCCCAAGTTGTAATTCGGCTTTGGATTTCTAGGCGCTCACACATCTAGGGAATCAAATTCCCTGCACTGAAAGAAGAAAAGGTCAATATATTCTCATACAAGTACATTTATTTCGCAGTAATTTAAGACGGCCGTCCTTTACTTTAAAAAAGAAGCATGTCTCTCAATTTGTTATCTTCCTCTGAAAAGAGCGTCACTTACTTTCGCCGACTTTGCCCAAATCATTTGGGAGTAGCCATCTAACTCTTCTCCAATATCATCAGTCGTCCTGGACTGCCTGAATCTGCGGAATGAAAACCTTGCTTCAGTCCATTCACTGAGACAAGAGGATGAGGGAGGAGGCACGAGCGAGTGCTTACACCTCGCGGTGGGCATACTTCTTGACTGCATCGAACCAATGATCCAAGGCGACCCGCCAGTTGATGACGCAGGTCTCTTTGTCATAGCAGATGTGAGCAAATGAAACTTCCGTCACAGATCCTGCAGAGGACAACTCAAAATGCAAAATGCAAAGAAAAACATGCATGGGATTTCAACTCACCGTCAACGTCGTCCAGGCCAAATAAACATGCTTCAGCCTTCTGCTCCGCCAAGTTCTTGAGGCTTTTATCTCGAATCTATGCAACAGGGAAGTATAACAAACGTTGGACATATTCCTAAATGTTTTGTTCTTTTTTCTAATGTTATGCTAGAAAGGAAGCAAAGAAATAAAAAATGGGTTCCTGGCTCAGTCCATGGTTTCTAATTACAGGAGATATTGACGATGTGCTCATTGGAAAAATCAACTTCCACCAATGAGGGAGAAAATTTAACTTCAATCCAGCATAATTCGTTAATCTGGCCGTTTCCAAGCATTCTATTAACGTCTTTCCGTAGGAGGACATATTTCTATTGTTTATTCATGGACAAATGGACACTCCACAGGATGTCCATTTCCTATGAGAGCTGCATCAGCGAGGCAAAAAAACAGGCTAACGTGGTCAACATCTGGGATGTTTACCCTACCTTTTTCCGAAGTCTTCTACAACACCCAGCCTTACAAAACTCTCCCACAATATATATTTCTAGCACACAGTCGTGTACCTATACGAGATTAATTCTACGGGCTCAATCGTGCAGACCTTGTCCCTTCCTTTTTATTGGCGGAAAGTTCCAATTGACAACTACCGTATATCAACATCATAGAGCGTACTTTATTGGTTAAAAAGTATTGAAGAACATTGAGCACCCACAAGCCTGCAGGTTCGGCACCATACCCCACAGTGCAAAATAGCACTGCCTCTGCCGAAGCGGAATTATACGAAATGGAGGCGTCGAAATGATTGATATATCTTTCATAGAAGGACCACGAAACCAAATCTAATCATATCTGAATTTCAAGAGAAGAATGCCGATAGTAATCTTCTTTACTCCTGTTCTGTTTAGGGATATAATGTTTTCATGGAATCATCACTAAAATCAAGAAATGTGTATTATTTTAAATTTTATTGATAACTTGGTATCATCATACAGAGAGAGACGAAAGGGTCAAACAACTTGACTTGCCAATTCGAGCATGTTTCGAGCTGGAGGAAGGTGTTTGTCCGCACTGCAATCTAAGCATCTGCTCTCATCTCCCAAGGCTACTTTGCGGCGGTACTCGTTCAGCTCTTTGTAGAGGTCTTTCACTGGAACTAAATTGCATGAGTTTTACACATGTGAACATCTTTTATGAGATTCGGATATAGCGACCTGAATGGCACCAACCGGGAACTTTGCAGCTGAGGAGGTCGAAGTTCGACGAGGGATACCATGTGTCTGGGTGAAGGATTCCACATGTGACTGAATGCCTCTGGGAGCCGTCCGAGAATTTTGCTGGGTTCTCGCAGATGAAGGCAGCCGTTCCCCCGGGCGGGGCGGGGTAATTCCCATCCCAGCCCACATCGTAAACCGTTTTAGCCCCTTCAATATTTGGGTGCTCCGTACGGCACCCTGAAACGCAACGCATTATAAGAATCTCCAGATTTCTCTGTGCAAATCCAAAATACGTTCTTATGGATCAGTTCGAACCGGAAACTTTGCAGGTGAGGT